TCAAATTTAAGCTTATAGTACACTCTCTTGAGAAAGAAGGTTGTCATAATGGCCTTGGGAAAATTAGTCCCTTAATAATTAATTAGGTACTGATTTGAACTGATTATGTAATTTCTCAATTCTTCTGGTATCTAGTCAGAAATCATTTTGTTTTCCTGCCTTAATACAGATGGACTATTTCACTGATTCTTGAATTTGTAATTTTACCCTGGACTTTCCAACACCAGAGTTATAACCAAAAAAAAATGCATTTACAGAAGGAAACTAAGTTTGTAGAAAAATTTGTTTAAATCTAAAAAGAGATGAACAATAGAACCTTTGTCAGACTTCTTTATCTCTCTTTCTTCTTTCTCTCTCTCTCTTTCTACTCTCTCTCTCTCTCTCTTTCTTTTCTTTTCTCCTGGCTGAGAACTAACTAGAAAGCAAGAAATTACCCCCTCCCTGCCTTCCATAGGAGATGGACACACCACAATCCCTTCTCCTCTGTTCTCCTCACAGGATTATGGCCACACGCACACACACACCCACAGCATGAGTTTTAAGCCACCTGATCCAGGACTTAAGCAGTGGTTGACCACATGGGAGTCCAGCAATATAACCATTATGCCAGCTACTGGTACCTCTCAGACACATTTCTATGCTCTTTTTTCTATGAAGTCAAAAAGTGTTGAAACATATCCTCTGCAATTGAGACCAAGAGGAAATGTTTGGTCTATTTTTATTCAAAATTTTAATAAAAATACTGGGTTATGCACTTTTTTTTGAGAGATAGATTTTTGCTATAGAGTTGGTTGGTGTGCTCCTCACATAGAGAGACAGAAAGTGATAAATCACCCTCTAGAGGAGGTAACTATGCTGCAATCCCTTCTACTCCACTCTCTTCTTGAGATTTTTGGCATACACACACACATGCTCAGGGTGAGTTTCAAATTACTGGGTCCAGGACCAGAACTATAGTTGACTATGTGGGAGTCCAGAAATTTAACCATTGTGTCATTTGCTAGTCCTAGGGTTATTCATTTAAAAAAATTAAATCATGGAAATTTAAACTAAAAATAAATCTAATTGACAGAATATATAAAGGTATATAAAATATTAAGTAATAATGAATAATATTATTACAGTAAATAAATGAATATATTTGATAGATACAAAGTCAATGAATAAAAATAAATTTACATAGAATAGATATTTTATTGTTAGAAAAGTCATGACACTTTTTTTCTGTTTTTCTAAGGTTATTTATAGAAAGGACAAAGATCAAGCAATGTTATTTTGCCTGTTTTGTTAAATAACCTTTTGCCATCTTTCAGTGAGTTTCGTAATTCCTTGTTCATAGAAGGACCTGCCTTTATTGGTGAAAAATTGAACATGGTGTTGATTTACAGCCTCATCTGAACTAAACATTATACCATGCAAGGAGTTTTGAAGAGAGTGAAACAAGTGGAAATCTGATGGTACAAGGTCAAGTGAGTATGGTGGGTATGGAAATGCATCTGATCCAAGCTCCAGTGATTTTTGATGGGAGATCAAACTTGTGTGTGGACTTGCATTGTTGTGATAGAACACAACTCCTTTATGATCAAAGATATCTGGATGTTTCTGGATGACGCCTTTGTTCACATTGTCCAATTTCTGACAGTACACATTTGAATTGATTGCTTGGTCCTTGGTAGGAGCTCAAGAAATAGAAAGTAAACGAACTATACAGAAAATAAATGAGGGAACCAGCAGTTAGTGTAATGGCTATGTAGCTGGACTCCTATGTAGCCGACCGCAGTTCACGTCCCGGACCCGGTGGCTTAAAACTCACGCCGGGCGCATGTGTGTGCGTGCCCAAGATCCCTAGAGGAGAATGGAGGAGAAGGGATTGCGGTGTGACCATCTCCCCTGGGGGGTAATTTCTCGCTTTCTGTCTCTATGTCTCTCTCTGTCTGGCGAGCGCACGCACCTGATAGCGAAAAAAAAAAAAAAACCTCCCCCAAAAAAAAAAAAAAAAAAAAACAGGGGCGGGGTGGGGGCAGCAGGTGGCGTGGTAGTTAAAGGTGCAGGACTCCCATGTGGCTGACTGCAGTTAGAGTTCTGGACCTGGTAGTTTGTTTTCTCACTTTCCCTTTCTCTCTTTCTGGTCAAATTTTAAAATAATAATAGAGGCCAGCCAGCAGATGTTGTGGCAATTATGTTGCTGGACTTCTACATAGCTGACCGCAATTCAAATCCCAGACCTAGTGGCCTGAAACTCACACTGGACCAGAGGATCTAGAAAGTCTGAATAGGCCCATAACAAGCCAGGAGATTGAATCAGTAATAAATAACCTCCCAACAAAGAAAAACCCTGGCCCTGATGGCTTCACTTCTGAATTCTACAAAACTTTCAAAGAAGAGTTAACCCCCACTCTGTTCAAGTTATTTCTAAAGATCTGAAAGGGTGGATCTCTCTCTAATTCATCCTATGAAGCCTATATCATCCTTATTCTTAAAACAAATAAGGACAAATCTGTATTTCATTTGCAATCAGGTAGACACCTCCCCAAATGGATCATCAGGTATAATAACATGAAAAATAATCTATATGTTTGTCAGCAGAAATTACATTCTTAATTCCATAAAAGTTAACCTATATACAGAGTATTCCCCTTTTGAATAGGGATCTCACCATCAAGAAAGCTGAAGATAGCAAACATTGCATGTTTGTGTCATGTTTTTCTGAAAGTTTGGGTTTTTTGGATCTGGAGAATTGTGGAAGTGAAAATAAGAAAGGCAAATTTGCATCAATTATTAAGGACCTTAAATGTAATAGCTAAAAAGATTTTAACTTTTTGTGAAAGTAATGCTACACAATTAAGTGGTATTACACATTCAAGAGACTCCTCCCTCAGGGTAGCTCTCTGCTAGTGAGGGATTGCAGTGGTGGATGAGTCTATCCAAATAAAATAGTTTTTAAAAGTGACCAGAATGATTGCCCTGCAGCAGCAATCTTCTAGAAATTAAATTGATACACAAGAGAAGACCTTCCCCAGAGGTAAGATTTATTGTTCCTATTTAAGAGCAGTTGGTATTTGAAGCAGGCCAAATATATTGTAGAATTAGAGAGACTTTCTGAGAAAAAAAGAGACCTACAAGTTTATAGTGTATAAATTACTTATTCTTATACAGACAGCTCATGAAAATACATGAAGGTAAGTTGTAACTGTGTTGTTAGATTATGTTGAGGCTATTTCTAAATTTGAGAATCAAGATTCAAATAAAAAGCATGGAATTTTGAGAACTTAATCTGAAAATGAGTTAGTTAAAATAAATAATGTAGTTATTAATTTTTGTATAAAATTAAATAAAATTAAGTCTACATTGGGGCCAATAGGTGGCATACTGGTTTAGGTGTTAAACTCTCAAATGGTCCACCAAAGTTTGAATGCTAGACCTGGCAGTTTGTTTTCTCACATTCTTTCTCTCTCTTTCTCTTTCTCTACCTCTGTCTTTCTCTTAAAATTACATATACCCATTAGCAAATTTTTTAAAATAATAATATGTGGGGTCAATAAATTTTAGTGGTTACATTGCTGGACTCCCACATGGCCAACTGTGATTTGAGTCCTGGATCTGTTAGCTTCAAATTTATGCCATGCATATGTATGCGTGTCCAAGATCCTGGGAGCAGAATGAAGGGGAAGGGATTATGGTGTGGCCACCCTTGGAGGAGGTTATATCTCACTTACCCTCTCACTGTATAAATTTCTCATTTTCTGTTGAGTGCAAGCACCCTAAAGGAAAAACCTCTACAAAATAATAATAAAAATAATAATCATCATAAATAAAATCTTTTTCAAAATTAAGTTTATGTCAATTAATAATGATATTATTAAAAATAATTTATTTAAAGTAACTTGATAACTACTGCCAATGGAAGTATATAAATATGAGACAATATTTGCCTGATCATATTTATTTATGAATGTAACTATTCAAAAGCATCAGCTGATGGGGCTAGAGGTGTGAAGATACATTTAAGGAGATATGGAAATACATAAATATTTATTTTGAAAAATTAGGATAAAAACACTGAGAAATTGTAAAGGGAATTGTCAAGCAACGCTGACTTGCCAATTTCACACCAGATGACATTAATATGAAATGTAGCCAGGGTGTTTGCAATTTTATTTCTCTTTCTTCTGGTTTTCAGTGTCATTCATATGCTTTGGCCACTTGTATGTCTAGGGTAAAATAACAGTTAAATTTAATCAAAGTTGTACTACTATAAGGCAACATTATGATGTGAAAATAGAGAAAAGAAGTTGCATTCAATTATAGTGAAGTTTGTGTCACTAAAGCATCACACATGAATAAGAAAAAATTGAAATTTATGGATAATATTTCTTGATTATGTTAAAAGTTCATTAATATTTTCATAGATAATCTATAGAGTGCTAATAGATAAAGTTAATAGACAGCATGCTGGGATTAATATTTTTATATTTAATAAGAATAATCAGAGAGATACATCACTTAGAGAACAATAACAATGCATGTATTTATTTCTTCAAATTAAGAAAAGTGATTCTCATTGGAGTATAAAAGAGATGACTAAAAACTTGTTTTGAATAAGAATTAAATATAAACTTCAGAGAAAAAATTCTTCTTAAATTGAAAGAATATGAAATATAATTACCACTAAAACAGAAAAAGCCTGTATCATAATTTCCCTCTTTATATTGGAATAATAAAATATTATTTCTCCACAATGTTCTCTAATGTATATTTCTCAGTACCTTTGGTATCACTACACCTAAATCTATAAAACATCTTAGATTATTACCTCTTGAATTGATTTCAAATCCAATATCAGTCTCTTTCTGAAGTTCCTAACTCATCTCCTGGTAAAGGTACTCTCATTTCTTAATAACGGAAGAAATAATTTAACAAATTATGTATTTTTATTCATCTCTTCCAATAAACAAAAGGGTTAAGAATGTTTTGACATGTGAATGACTTAATTATTATGATTTGCCATACCTGCAGATAAAGATCAAATTAAAGCAGAAAATTCAAATACCACTACAATGATGGATTTTATCCTCTTGGGGTGTTCTGATACTCCCAATCTCCAGTGGACACTTTTTGTTATATTTTTACTCATATATTTGACTATCTTGGTGTGCAATAGCATCATAATACTAATAACAAAAATTGACCCTTCTCTCCACACACCCATGTACTTTTTTCTTGGCAATTTTTCTTTCTTGGAAATCTGTTATGTGACAGTAACTATCCCGAGAATGCTTGTGGACCTTATGACTAAGAAAAGACGTATTTCCTTGCTTGCCTGTGCTACACAGATGTGTTTTATTCTGATGCTTGGAGGCACAGAGTGTCTCCTCCTAACCGTGATGGCCTATGACCGCTATGTGGCCATTTGTAACCCTCTTCATTATTCTCTAGTGATGAACCACAAAGTCTGCATCCAGCTGGTGGCTGCCTCCTGGATCAGTACAATTCCAGTTGTCATTGGGCAAACATGGCAGATTTTCTCTTTGTCTTTTTGTGCATCTCACACAATCAATCACTTCTTCTGTGATGTCCCACCAATACTCAAGCTTGCTTGTGGGGACACATTTGTGAATGAGGTAGCAGTCTACGTAGCTACAGTGGTGTTTATTATGGTTCCTTTTCTGTTGATTGTTGTCTCCTACGGTAAAATTATCTGCAACATTCTGAAATTGTCATCAGCCAGAGGGAGGTCAAAAGCCTTTTCTACCTGCTCTTCTCACCTGACGGTCGTGGTATTATTCTATGGGACAGCTACCATTTCTTATTTACAACCCAAACCAAATCAGTCTGAGGGAATGGAGAAGCTAATCTCTCTTTTTTACACTGTTTTTATTCCAACTTTGAATCCCATCATATATACGCTGAGGAACAAAGATATCATGACAGCATTGAAAAAACTACTAGCTTTGGGAACCAGCAGTTAGCATAATGGCTATGTCGCTGGACTCCCACGTAGTCAACAGCGGTTCGCGTCCTGGACCCGGTGGCTTAGAACTCACACCAGACACGTGTGTGTGCATGCCCAAGATCCCGAGAGGAGAATGGAGAAGAAAGGATTGTGGCGTGACCACCCCCTCTGGGGGGTGATTTCTCATTTTCTGTCTCTATGTCTCTCTCTGTCTGTCTGGTGAGTGCACGCGCCCTATAGTGGAAAACCTCTCCAAAAAACAAAACAAAACAACAAAAAAAACAAAACTATTAGCTTATTAGCATGAGGTAAAGCCTAAATTTATAAAGTTTGTTTATAGTTTAATAATGTAGTTATACTAAAAATACAGTTATTTTTGGTTGTATGTTTTTAAATAATGATAAAATTATGATGATGTTCACACACTGTGTAAAGAGACTTTTATTTCATAGAGCATATTTAAGGGCCCTCTGTAATCTGAGAGACAGATAAAGCCTGTGTAGGGACAATATTTTGAAGATTATTCTTTCCTTCATGGTTAAGTATTGGGTTGAGACTGCCAGAGCAATAGAATATAAGTTAACTACATGTGTTGTAAAAGCAGAGTTTAGTGTCATGTTTTGTGAAAAATTTTCCTTACTCCTCCCATTCCTTCAGATACATTTTGGAATGTTCTCTGACCCTATGGTTGGATTTAACCAGTGAGAGACTCCAGAAGCAGCAAAGATGATGCAGGGTAATAAGCATTTCTTTGCATTTTCCTTGTGTCTACATCATCTCTGTCCATGTCCTATGAAGACAACAAATGGTAAAGAGGTGCACTCCTCTATTGTGCAGATCTCCAAGTTCTCCAGGAATGTGGTTACCTCTGACTGTAGTTTAGTAATATTGATTTAGTAGAAGCTTCTATGTTTCTCACCAGCAACTCTTCATTCTCATATGCAGTGGGATATATGTAGTCTCCTCAAAATATAACTCAATCTGACATCTTCGTACATCCTTTAGACAAAAAGTTTTTGCAGATATATTTAACATAAGGATTGTTTCTATTCCATCTAAAATTGCCTGCAGGGAAATGTTACAAACTAGATTGCAATTGTTTTGTGGCTTTTTTGCTACTTTTCCAATCTGCAACATCCATGACTCTGGCTATATAACCCCTATAACTTCCATGCTCTGGCCCCAGATTTGAGATTAGGAGCTCCTCTAGGACCACCAGTATTATAAACCTGAGTTCTCCTAGTCTTTGGGTGAACTGGGTTTCTCTGTGGTCTCTTTTCTGCAACATTTATGGTATCGTGACTGGGAAACCTACTGCACTGGCCCCTTGAACCACCAGTTTGGTGGGAGCAGCCTTCAATGATGAAGGAACCCCAGAATCAAGTGATGCACCACCACCTGGTCTTTTCCTGGGTCTTCATCAGGGGCCCTGAAGCCCCATAGGCAACAGACCGCCGCTGGACTCAATGAAGAGATGGACCAACTCGCAGGCTGAAAATATCTAGTCATCTCACAGCTGAAGCCTCTGAAGAAGGTAAAGTACTGAGACTGTGGAACTCAGTCAGACCCACCCACTGGGGTGAGGGTAGAGACCCAATCACCTTCTGTGTTCTCCAATTAGAGTCACAAGTTCTGGATTAAGGTTATTGCCCAGCCTCCTGCCAGGGGCCCACCAGTTCTCATCACTGTGGTTCTTCATCAGGGGGCCACCAGCTGTGGACTCTCCCAAAGAGAGGAGGACACTTTGGCAAGCTCTGGAATGACTTTGTGAATATATATAACTGTGTCAGTTTCTGTGAACCCACAGTCTTTAAACTACAGAGTCTGAGTGAGTCCTCAACTGTTTTTCCATCTCTGGGAGGAATACGTTCTGGGGGTGGATTCCTCCACATTTCTAAGAGATTCCTGTGTCCCTGAGTTCCTGGCTGATTTGTTTCTGTCCCAGTATTTGGGTTCAATGCTTTTCCCTTCTGTCTCAGGAAAGGAAATTGATTCCAATTGTGGTAGGACTGAAACTGGCTTTCAAGTGGTAAGAATTGAAAGTAGCTTCCACTTGGCTTTCACTCCGTACCCAAGCCTGCAACTGAAAACTTAACTTTGAAGCTTATTGCTCTGAAACTGGCTGCAGTGGGTATAGCCCACCCCTAAAACTTCCCACTTCTGTACCCTTAAAAGCTAGACCCTAAAGCAAATTCAGGACCCAGATCTTTGAGTGTGTACTCCTCTGGGTCCACCGGTGTAATAAACTTGAATTCTCCTTGCTCTCTGAGTGATGTTTGATTTCTTGGCAGTCTGTTTCCACAACATCTTGTTGCATTGGTTGGGAAGCAAAACTATACTGGCCCATTGTGCTACCATGGCTGAGGAAGCAACTCTTCCATAGGGTGGCTGTCCTGACTCAGAGAGAAAGCCGTGCCACCCGATCATTTCTTGAGTTGTCTCCTGCTCATGGTGCCTAACCAGGAAACTGATCCACAGCCACATGGACTTGCTGGAGATAAGGATCAACTCTTCTAGACTAGGCAATGGGAATTTGTAAGTCTCTCAGGAGCATTGGTTCCAGTCAGACCCGCTTAGTCAGTGGGAGAAAACACTGATCAAACTCATTCAATCAGAAGACCACCAGTCAGGGCTTTCCTGAGAGGGGGAGGAATGTTTATAACCTCTGGATGAATGGGTGAATGTGTCTGTGATTCCACTGTCAAAAGGCTATGGAATTTGAGTGGGTCCTAACCTGTGGTTCTGTGGTGACCTCATATGGCTAGAAGATGAAATTGATGCTGAGGGACTCATTCCCTCATGGCACACTCAATCCAATGGGGGATTTATACCTGGTTTCTGAAGCTAAGTGGGACCCTAAGGTCCCCAAGAAGGATACGGCCAGGTGGACACTTGAATGGTCTACTCTTAGGAGGAGGTTCTCATCCCTTGTTTATCATGACACTGACCACTGGAGAGACCACCAAAGAGAGTGAGGGCTCATAGTTGTTATCAGGCAGGCCCCTGTGTCCCAGGAAACTTGGAACCACCTTCTTCTCTGCCATTACTGAGGAAACTCTCCTGATGACCTCTGTGGTCAGAGCTCCGATAGCTCTGACTTTGCTCCTCAGAGTGCCCCTTTGAGTTCAACTGGTTTTAATTTGACTCCTTGGATGCTCTCTGAGACTCCACCTGAAGTCCAGTCTCTTCATACACATGTTTTGCCATCCCTATCCTGTTCCTGCTATCTGTTTCAATCCCAGATTCTACAAAGATAACTATCCCCAAAGAGCTACTTTCTTGTTTCCTATTGAGGGTTCTGCCAGGAGAGTTTCCAGACCTTCACTCCCTCCTGAAGACTGGTCCCTTGGACTTATAAGGACTTTCCTAGCATAACTGTCTTTCTGATGTGGCTTCAGTATTGACAGTCAGAGACTCTCTAGAGTCAAAATCTCACTCAACTCTTAACCCCATCCTTAGATCAAGCAAGTCATGAGATAGTAGCTTTCAATACCTGGCACCTATATTGATCCAGAACAAACCACTTAAAGGGTTATTGAAGGTGTTACTGGTACCAGCACTATACCAGTCCAAACCAACTGTACTCAACTGCATGCTCTTATAACTTTAGGAAATCCTTCTTAGGTGATTATAGTATAAGAATGACCCCAGAAAGACATAAAACTCTTTCTGAGGTCTTTCAAGGTCAACTGGTCCCTTAAAGGCACTCTGGGCCTGTACATCATTAGGCCTGTTTATCAAGTCATCACAAGAACTCTGAGACACCCAGACTGGTTTCCTTAATCAATGTG